ACAGATTTCTGTTTGACCTTGAGCTCTTGTATTTGTGCTACTTTTACATAGCAGATTCTATCATAGCTATGGGAATTAAATCAGCCCTTGATGTTTTTCGTTTTTTAATACTAATTTTCTCATTTATCCTTAACAATTTATAAACCAAAAAGTATCTGAGACAGGGATCCATCAATTTAGAGGTTTATTTGACAAGGTTAAGGACCATGGCCTGTGACAGCCTCAGGAGGTCCTGAGAATACGTGCCCAAGATGGTTGGGTTACAGCTTGGCTTTATATATTTTACGGAGACAAAAGTAACAGGCAAGGACTTATACCAGTACACGTAAGGTATACATTGGTTTGGCCGAGAAGGGTAGGACATCTTGAAGAGAGTTGGGGGTTTCCAAATCATTGACTGATTCAAAGATTTTCTGACTGGCAATTGGTTTAAAGAGTTAAACTCTGTCTGAATAGTTGAAGTCAGCTTGGGTTAAGAAATGGGGGTTGGTTGTGGAAGCCATGGTCCTTGTTTTCAGGTAGCAGGCTAAAGTAGCAGGTTGATGGTGAATATCTCTTACCAGGCCTTACAAGGTGTCAGATTCTCCAGAAAAGACCGAGTAAGAGAAGGAGATTCTCTATAGAATGCATTTTTTTCCCCAAGAGACAGCTTTGCAAGGTCATTTCAAAATATGTCAAATAAATATATTTTGGTATAAAATATTTTGATTTCTTTTAGGGCCTGCTATCTGTTATGTTATGTTATATTAGAGTGAGGTTGTAATTTGGTGTTTTGTTGATATAAAGAGTCTGTCTAGTCAGTTTTAAATCTCTGTTTTAATGTTACTGTTGGTCTGTTGTGTCTAAACTCTAACGGGAGCAGGGTATAATGAGGAATGTGTAACCGCCCTTCCCATGATTTTCAGGTTTCTTTGGGAATCCCTTAGCCAAGTGGGGGGCCATTTAGTCAGGGGGCTTAGAACTTAATTTTGGTTTACAAATTCAGTTTATTCTAGGCAACAAACCTTCTTCCTGATTCTACTGCATTGCCAAATCAGTCTTGATGGGATCTGATTTATGGAATAAAAAGATCAACCACAGTTGATTTATCCTATTTACTTTTATAGCCATGCCATTCTTTACTTGCATGATGATCTTCTTAACTAACCCATTTAATCCAATATTTAAATAGGAGGAAGTTATGGATGGGGAGAAGGGATGTGAATTCCACTTTTGAATAATTTTGAGGACTATGGAGCAAAGAAGTCACAAATACAAAATATGCTGCTCAAAGGAGAGTGGAACATATTTGTTAGTGAGTTTTTGATTATTTTTTAAAGCAATACAGAATTCGTCTTTCAACTCACACAAATCCAACTCAATGGGCATTTCTGAGCAACCTAATCAAAACAATTTCTCAGAATTTTGTTTGTTTGTGTTAAGCATGTAGCATCAATTACAAAATACTTGTTGAGCTCCTTTTATGTGGTAAGATCTACCCTGTCCTATAAATCTCAAATATCAATTTCCTTCTTTAAATCTACAGCTTTAATTTGAGATCTGTGAAGTAGAACTGAAAGTCAAGAAAGAACAACAAAAGAGTTTACCAGAGATTACTTTTAGAATCCAGATGCTATTGTATCAGCAGACTCTCCTAATGTGCATCTTAAACTAGGCTATAGGTATTCTTGACAACTACATGAAAAAATTTAAAGGCTTCTCTAAGCTAGAAACAGAAAGACAGCATAATGCTGTAGAAAATAAGCATGTTTTGGTAAAGAACAAATCACATAAGTTTAATAATGTTCAGAGACAGAACTTCAAACCTTAATAGTAATGCAGGAGCAGTAGACAAGCCAAGCTAGCTTCTCAGAACTTTACAGATGCTAAGAGAATTGCTTTTGGAAGCTGCCTTAACTATTTCAGACCACTAGGGTAACCTTAAGTAAATGACTGTTTCAATGTTCCAGTAGCACTTAGTTTAGTAAGGCAGTAAATTATCCCAACTCTGAAATTCCCAAACTGCTTCTAAATAGCTCTAGCCTGCAGCAAACCAGCAGGATTCTTTGTCCTCTAGCTCTTTCCACTGCTGCCTGGTTGCTTAAACAAATGCCCTAAAACCAAGCATTAACATTTGCCAAGCATTTTGAAAATGAAATGTACCTAAGACAGCCCTGTGGGTGCCTGATTTAATTCTCTTTGACTGTCTAGAATAAGGCAAGAAAATTAACACTTGATTGTGCCAATTGTGCCAAATATTCACTGGTACACAGGGAAAAAAATTGAGGAATAATTCCTAGTTGAGAATTGTAAGAATTTAAAAAATGGAAAGTATAAAAACATGCTAAGTTTCTCTAGGCCTCATCCATTATCCACACATACACTTATAATCACTTATTTATACTTCATTACTCCAAAAGAGTAAAACTGTGAAAAATATTTCACAGGATACAAAGTACTCCTTTGCTAAATTGGCTAGCATTCTTGAGTTTTATTACAACCAGGCAGACATCGATGTTAGCAAAAGTGTGTCCCATGTAAGCACACTTTTATTATTTGGGATTAGGCTCCTAAAAAAAAAGGAATAATAGCATGTGGCATCTCCATTATAAGAGATCATGCACAGCATATTTCCCTTCTGTTAGAAGAAACTTATAACCAAGCAACTTGGAAAATGTTTGAAAGTTTTTATATAAATATTGAGGAACAGCTAATAGCATCCCATATTTTTTTTTCCAATTAGGAAATAACACTAAAAAAGCAGAGGAAGGATTATGTACCACAGCCTCCTGGTAATGGATATAAATAAAATTCAATATTTAAGTAGACGCACGTCTATCTTGATATGCTATTTCTGTCAGATTCTGGCAATGGTTCTGATTCTAACAGCAATTACTGGTAAAGCATTTAGCCACCACTATTTAGAAAAGTGGCTTTATTGAATTTACAAACAAGGCCCTACAATTTTCCATTTCCTTAGCAAGATAGTAAATCAACCAAGCTCAGCATGTCATCATGACTATAATTTACGTGATGTGACTTGACAGTTAAGATGTACTGTGGTAATTTCTAAGAGCTTGCAGTATTATTGTAGTATCAAAAATTTATATGGTTCAGTTATTAAGGCAAATTGTTTCATTCATACCGAGATGCCTGACAGTAAACCACCAAGGGCTTCCACATTACATTAAAAAATGTCCTCCATATTCAAACGATTTGCACACCCTGTTACCGTTATTTTATTCACTGAATGGAAACTGGAGCACAGGCAGGAACAGCGTTTTGCTGTGAAAATGATTGGTAGGGGAATATAAAGCGCTTCATTGTGGCTTATAAGAAAGAAACAGTTCAGCCAGGATAAGGGAAGTTATCTTCAGGAACCGACAACTACTAATGGGATGTCCAAATTCTTTGTTCTGATTCTATCAAATATTCCGTTTGCTTGCTTTCCTTCTGTCAGTTTGATTGTCAGCCAACAGAAAGAAAATGCATATGGCCAAAGAAGAAAGGATGGAAAATATGGTAAAGAATATTTTTATTATAAGCTACTTTAAATAAGTTTTGCCATCATATGAGACATACAACCTCTGAAATTCATCCAATTTTGACCTAAAACTCTTCTTGGAGCTCCTCAGAATGTTTTGTTTTGTTTTGTTTTTTTAATTGACAGTATATTTTTATTTTTATTTTCTGGCAATTTTACGCAGTAGAAATTAAAGTCTTATGTGCTATTTTGTTTTTTAGGGGACTACCGGAGTTTCCTAAATAGAATAGGATAAAATGACTTCTTCCTGTAAAGGGCCTTGCAAATAAAAGTTTAATTAGATTTTTTTTTACAGCTATTGAATTTTATACAACATATGCTGTCTCTTAAAATACAAGTTCATTGAAAATGTGTTTTAGACATTTACACATTTTTTGTAATAGCCTTTAGAAGCCTGTTAAAAATAAGAAACTGGCCATGAGTTAAAAATGTTTCAGTCAGCCAACACCACCAATTCCTATTCACTGAGTAGCATATGAAATACTAAGTTTTTCTATTTCAATACTCACATGACATGCAAGAAAACCATGGACTATAAATATACTTTTATTTGTTTAATCAATGATGAGTTCTTCATAGTAATGCTATATTTTTAAGGTGTAAACTAGGCTTAAACAGCATCAATTCATGAAGAAATTTTTCCATCACAGCCTCTGGAGCGATCAGTTATTTAAACTATCAGCTGAGAAAGTATTAACTTTCACAGAACAAGCAAGTATTCGCATTTATAAATAAGCCACCAAATTTTGTTTCCAACAAAGTATCAGGCGAGATAAAACAAAATTCTAAACCCTATGATATCTATCTAGATAGATTTAATCCACAATAGAAAAAAAATCGGCCCATATTTCTGAAGCTGCTACATTTGTTTATCTGTGTATGTTTTTACATATGTGTGGGCTTTAAAACAAACATGTGCTTCCAATCTGGCACTTTCAGGGTAGTTCTGTCTGAGCTCCAGGAAATATGTTATTTGCATAAGCCTCGTGGCAAGCATTTAATTAGTTATGTAATCCATTTCTTTTTCCAATTAACATTCATATCAGGTAGAAGGAAAAGTAAATCTCTTGAGTATCAATTTTGAAATGAAATAGAAACAGATGAGAAAACTTCAGTAAGTATCCCACCACAGACAAATCCAGAAAACAACTCTTTCCACATAAACACAACACAGTTTCTTCCAATAGCTATAATTTGCTTTATGAAAATACCCTAGAGGCTTCATTAATTTATTTGCCCATTCAAAAAGTTTACACAGAACATCAACTCTACAAAGTTGCATACTAGGGATGCCCTGGCTGGTTAAGATCTTGTGTAACTCTGGGGAAACGCCCAGCTCCATGTGATGTAGCTGGCTCTGGCAATCCAATACAGTGTGTAATTTGATTTCATCTTTCTTCAAATGAATTACCAACTAAAACTCATTCTCACGATCAGTCAGTTAAAGCAGAATAGCGGGAAGCAAGCGTGGACTTACTTTGTTTCCCAGATAGGGAGCCGGTGCGCTCCAGTAGTAGCCGTGCGGCAGGGCTTGCCGGGCCTCCGCGTTACTGATGCTGATCTGCTGGGGCGAGTCCGAGTCGTCCCGCCGGGGAGCCACTCGAATGCGGCCAGAAAGGTCAGTCAGATACCAGCCACTCATATCTTGTATCTTAGAGAAAACACACAGTCATCATTAATTTTAAAAAACCAACCAAACAAACAAACAAAAACTATCAGCTTTGCTCTTTCCTATTCCTGGCCATGTCCGCTTTTGGAAATTAACAAAAAATAAAAACAAACAAACAAACAAAAACTACGAATATTTAGAAAAAACATGCTGGGTTATGGTGGCTCACACCTGTAATCTTGGCACTTTGGGAGGTCGAGGCAGGCAGATCACTTGAGGTCATGAGTTTGAAACAAGCCTGGCCAATATAGTGAAACCCGTCTCTACTAAAAATACAAAAGGATCAGCCGGGTGTGGTGGTGCGCGCCTGTAATCCCAGCTACTTGGGAGGCTGAGGCAGGAGAACTGCTTGAATCTGGGAGGTGGAGGCTGCAGTAAGCAGAGATCTTGCCACCGCACTCCTGCCTGGGCAACAGAACAAGACTCCATCAAAACAAAACAAAACAAAACAAAACTCAAAAAATCATGAGCGTTATGAATATCATTAGATATACGTGTTCACTTAGGTTTCCATTGCTTATTTTTTTTTCCTTGATGTTTCTAGGAGTTTCCAAGGTATTTTATAACAATCTGTTCTCATTAAACCTATGCTTTTTAAAAAATGTGGTTCCAAATATCGCTTTCTTAAAAATAGAAATTCACTCAAAGTCATACAATGGTTGTAACATACACTTAATCAAACAGTTGGCCTTTCAGTTCCACATTTTTCACTCCACCAGTAATTTCTTATTGCTCTTAGAAAAAAAGACTTGAAAAAGTGTTGCATATGTATTAGCAACGCAGAGGAAAAAGAGAAACTATGTAAGTACCTGAAAGGTGGTTTTTCATTCAGTATTTCCATCCCTCCCACTTTTTAAAATTTCTACTTTGAGGCATAAGGCTATTTGAACCCAACAGCTTGTTGCTATGACAACATCTCGCAATACTGTATGCATTCCTTCAAATAGGGTCCGAAGTGCTGTGGGGACCCACAGCTTAGATCCCTGGCCCAGAAATGGAAGGAACCTTAAAGGAGGAATCAGAAAATGCATAATGATTTGTTTTTACATCTCTATGCTCCAGCCAAGGTCAGGCCTACAGCTACACTTCTAATTTAAAGCAACCTCCCTAGTCAGGACAAAACACTGATTACTAAGGGCTTAGGCTACCAGCTACCAGGAACCTACCAGACATGCATGAGCTGCTTCATGTTGTGGGTCATGGGAAGAAGAATGCTATGGGTGACAATATGTGGCTGAAATATTTAAAAAATTTTCTTCATAGATTATTTGACTCTGCTTATCCCAAAGCTGTGAAATCACTGAGATTCCCTTGGTCAAACAAGAAATAGAATCCAGGTATAACCTGTTGACCTCCTGGACAATAAGTAATATATTCCATGCTCTTCTGCCCTTCTAACATCACCCTTGAGGCATTCTAAGACAGCTGAGTGGGATTCTGTGTCTCTAGCATCTGATGATCAAAGCTTGAGTACCAGCTCTGTCCCTTGGCTGGCTATGAAACTGCGCTCTATCAGTGGAGCAGTCTGGAGGGTGGGGTGGGACTTTATAAACAAAATGAGGAAGTTAGACTAGATGTCCATTTGTGGTTGATTCTTTGAAGTCTGCCCTGAAAGCAATATATTTGATAAACTATAGATAATATCTCATAGTAGGCTTGACTTAAAAGCACTGCAGACAGAGAAAATATGAGATAGCTCTGTTCAGGATTAGTTTGCTGATTAAAGTTGAAAGGAAGAAGTGTTTAGGTAATAGTTTATCTAAATAGTAGTCTTTATAAAACACAACACTGATTATGTCAGTCCTCGGTTTAAAATTCTTCAATGACACTCCAAGTAAAAGATCTCAAATTCTTACCATATTTAACTCTATAAGTTCTAGTTTCTCATTCCCCCTCTAGGCTTCTCTCTCTCCAGTCCATTTCCTACCATTCTGCACTCTTAAGTCCAGCCATATAGGCTGCATGAAATTCCCAGAAGTCCCATTTTCCTTTGACACTCTTCTGTAGGGAGACAAAATGCTCTCTGTATAGAGTTGAAAAGGCAGTGGGTAGCGTAGGCAGTGAAAGTAGAAAGGTAAACACATTTACGTTAAACAAAATTTTAGTAGCAATTAAATAGTTTAAGTAGCAATTTTTCAAACCAACTGTGAATGAAGGTATTGCTTATATTTAATGTCCCCTTTTAATAATGAAATAGTCTAGGCAACATCAAATAGTAACTAAGCTGGTGGATAATATGTATTATGTATATAGATGATAAAGCGTTTTTCTCAACTTGTATACAAAAATACCGGTAAATGGAAAATAAAATTCATATCACAATGTCATGTTTTCTCTGTTAAATCATGCACCCTTGGAGTTGAAACTTTAATTGCATTATTGCTTCATATAGTAATCATGGAAACTGAAAAGACTATGCCTACCTAGCCTAAGAAATTCCAGCAGTATTACAAATACAACCTCAAAGGCTTTGAGTAAAAATACACAAAAGTATTTGAATACAATTTCATTATTTCTTCATGGAAATTTATGTAGAAGTTCACTATCAGAAAAAAAAAATTCCACAAAAGAACAATGACAGCAACAAAAAAGGTCGATGGACAAGCAAACAGAACCAAATGGTGCTTGCTTACTTTGCCGTAGGTCCAGTAGGAACTCTGGCATCTGTTTGAAACCCCTGAGCAGAAACACTCATCACAGCCTTTCCAGTTATCCTCTTGCAAATTGAAGAAGCCAGGTTTGCAACGGCTACAGTCTCCTCCTTCAACATTCTCCTGCAAATAAAGAGATGTGTCAGCAACACAGGTATCTTTCAAATTTATGAGCTGTGTTCATGTCTGCATAAAGGAAATATTAACTGTACATTCTTCATTTTACCCTCTCAACTAAAGTATAAATATTTTTAAAAATCTGCTCCAAAGCTGTATATAAAGCTGTATCCTCTCTAACTATACTGGTGAGAAAGATTATTGGATGCAAATCTACTCTTGTAAAAGTGACTGTTTTGATCTCCGTGTATATTAAGAGTGCAGAGTAAATGTCATGATAGATACCTGTGCAGGAATACATTCGATTTAGTAAAGTGGGGTCAGCTAGGCTCACTGTTCTGTTATTGAGCTACTTCATTTAAAGTTCACTGTTCTGTTACTGAGCTACTTCATTTAATTTTCTGGTAAAAATTAAAGACATTAAGACATCGATATATAATAGAACATTGATATTATGCCAGTTAGAAATACTTTTCACATTTCAGATTAAAAATATGTATACTTGAGGCAAGCATAGGAACTTGACAGGTAGAGAAACTGGGATAAAGATCAGATAAAGTAGAAAAGTAGCAAAGTTTTCCCCTGGTTTACTTTTATAGTGTTTCCTATAACACATTGGTACAGTTAGTCACATAGTGATATTATGGGAAAGATCTATTCTCATTCTGTGACTGCTCTCCACCAGATTGGTTTCATTCATTCTAATCTCAGTATACTGAAAAATTGTTTGTCTATAGTTGAGCCTAAAATGTGGACTCGGGCCAGTGAAAGCTGACCATATGATGAAAAACTGCGAAAGATGTAATCTCTCAATTTAAAGAACAGTTGATCTTGACTAATACTTCTAAATGAAGGCGTCCTGCTTTCCAGGAAACAGATTTGCAATATTCCCTACATGTGCATTTTCTCTACATTTTCCCTCTTCCTTGAATTCCTGTATTAGCAATTCTGAAGCTTTTAAAAAAATTCCCTTGCACCACTAATTTCTCTCTCAATGACGTTTTCATTTTTTATACATTGCTCTATCACAACTACAAAAAAGCGTTGTTCAAAGATTGTTCTCTCTAGCTATCTGCTGTAATCTATTCAAAGGTAGAAATTCTGTCTTACTTATCTTTATAGTCTGAGAAAATAACATGGTTCCTGGTACAGCAGTGAGCACTAGCTTCATAAAATTTATTAAGTTTAAATAAATCTCTTGGCAGTCAGGTTTTTCATGCATAGAAAAGTTTTATACACATAGTATAAGCTTAATAAAAACATCTTTAAACAAATCCAGATTGAGCAGAAGATAGCGATGATAAAATCTGAGAACATGTAAGGAAAACCAGAAGAGAAGAGAAAAAATGGCATGAAGAAATAAGGAGAAATTTTAAAAAATAAACAAAGAGGTCCTCCTTATATCTAAGAGAATAATTTATTTTAAATTAACTTTTTGATACTGAATTTCAATGACTCATTTACAGACTCAACCACTTCTATGTGGGAACCTTAAGAAGTGCTGCCCTAAGATTTTTGCCAGCTTACTTTTTAAGGCAGATTTCAAACATTTTGAAATGATAGATATCAGCAAAACTAATCAAACTAATTTCAGACTTATAGTGACAAATAAATCCCCAAAGCACTGGAGTTGAGAGCATCTTCAAAAAGAGTATAAAGCCAAGAAAGATGAAACATGTCTGTAATTATGATTTAGCTTATCCCGTTGAGGACACAGTACAGCTGTTCTGTACACTGTGTTCCTATGTGCTTGGTCTAATCTACTTTTCATTTACTCTAATTTGAAAGCTTACAATACCACTATTCTGAGATTCAGACTAAGTCCAACAATTAGAAATTTGTAGACACCAGTTACATTTTCCTTAGCTCCATTTTAGCCTGGTAAAATGACCTTGAAAAAATATGATGAAATAATTTCATATTCAATTTTATTTAACAACCCAAGGCAAGACATTAGGGTCAGAATTCTAGGCACTATGAAGATAAATAGTCAAGACCTCTGTCTTTAAAAGCCAATATCTAGTTGGATAAAAACATATACTCACAATAAGCTATCATGCAAGGTGGAATATGGTAAGTGCATCTGAGAAATAAATTAAATTATGGAAACAGAGGAGGAAGCACTAATTTCTTCTATAAGACTTAAGGAGGCATTACAACAGGAGTGGAGTTTGACCTAAACCTTGAAGCATGGTTTAAAAATTGAACTTGTGGACAGAGACAGAATGAGAGACCCATGTTAGCAAAGACATTGGGAACAAAAATTCAATTTAAAAGTTGGAGGTTCGTTCATCATTTATTTTTCAAGACAAATATGCAAGTTGAGCATCCCTACTCAAAATTTTGAAAGGTTTCAGAATTTGAAACTTTGAAGGCACCTATATGATGCTCAAAAGGAATGCTCATTGAAGCATTTCAGATTTTGGATTTTCTGATTAGGAATGATCAGCCAGTATGTATGCTGCAAATATGCCAAAATCCAAAAAAATCCAAAATCTGAAATATACAATGAGAACACATGGACACAGGGAGAGGAGCATCACAAACTAGGGTCTGTCGGGGGAAAATAGGGGAGGCACAGTGGGAGGAGGGGAGTTGGGGAGAGATAGCATGGGGAGAAATGCCAGATATAGGTGATGGGGAGGAAGGCAGCAAATCACACTACCACGTGTGTGCCTATGCAACAATCCTGCATGTTCTTCACATGTACCCCAAAACCTAAAATGTAATTTAAAAAAAGGCCAGGGGGATCACATATCAAGGATAAGGGGTTCTTAAGACAAAAAACCGACTTAGCTGGATTCTTGCTATAACCATGCTAGGCTTGTGGACAAGGCTCAAAGATGAAGCCTCATCTGAAAGAGGACTCAGAGAAGCCTTTGCAAAGTTCGGTCAAAGAGAGTCTGTCACTGTAAAAAATTGACTGACATAATACTATTTGAACTGTAGCTGCTTCAAGAGATAAATTCCTGCATGAATCTTTTATGCCAAAAATTCTACATCTGTAATTTAGATTCAGGATTAAATGTATACATTGAAGGGCATTTGTAAAAATGCCCAGGAATCAAGTCTGCAGGTTAATGAGGTGGGCATTCCTGTACACAAATGAAAAAGAAGAGGGAAATCCAAAACCAATAAAAATGTTAACACACCATAAAAATCCTTTCAGAGAAATGGAAAGTTATCTCTACTTGCAAAAAGCAATGTAGACAACAACAAAAAGTAACCCAGTAGGTATTTATGGTTATACTTTATATTTGTATAGGGCTTCAATGTTATAATTATACCTATTGAGAGTTAGGCAGAAAAGATGCAATAACACCATTTCCTAGATTATAAAATAGAATCAGAAAGGTGAAGTGACTGCCAAAGCTTCACAAGATTTTAGTTCTCTTCCTTCCTTCTTTCTTATGTATGAGTCATTGTGTTATCTTCTTAACTGTGCAATGATAAAGAAAATGTACAGGGTCTGTAGCATCACCAGAGGTAAGAACAGACATGAAACAGAGTAACTAATTATGAGATTATAAAAGAAAAAGATATGAAAAGTGATTGTGCCATGAGAATGATATGATTGGGGAATGCAGGGCAGCTTTCCTGAGAAAGTTGAAGTTAAGCCAAGCCATTAAAAATGCCTGGCTAAGCAAAGGAATAAATAGGGCTAGAAGTGAGGTTTCACAAGCGATCTGAATAGAACCTATAAAATTCCACATGCTACAAAGAACTAAGTGACTCAAGGAATTGAAGCAAAGCTGGAAAACAGTGACTGAAACTCAAGAACATTCTGGAGAGGTAGGCCAAGACCAGAATCATATAGTCTCATGGGCCTGTAAGGACTTTATGTAAAATGCAATGAAAACAAAGCAAAATAATATGAAAATGCAGACTTGGATTTCTAGTCTTCTACTTCACTATTTATCTTTGTATTATAAGACTTTGAAAAAAAATAAAAGCACTTGTTACTACCTAAATCAAGGTCAATTTATATTATGTGTGAGAGTCTACAAACCAACTGGCTGCATAAATACTATGACACCAAACTGCAAAAGAGCGATTTTCTAGCACATGGTACTTGAAATAAACAAATACTGAGAGTCAGACAGCACTTATACTCAATGACTTGTCATATATCTGAGATTGACTTGCCTCTTATAACACACAAGAGAAAGAAATTTCAAAATTTTTAACAATGCAAAGATACTAGAAACGTTTTAGTATCTTGAGCTAGCAGTGTTTTCATATTTTGAAATATAATGATGATAATGTTCATTAATATCATTGTTGAAGAGAAAATCTTATGTGTAAAATGTAATCGTGTAGTTGATACTCTATGAGTCAGTTAGCATCTTGTTGACTTACTTCCCTATTTCAATTTATAGGTAATTTTTTTCAGGTCTATATTTCTGATTTTCTATCCTGTGGTTTCTCATCTCTTGTTTAACCCAACCATTGGATTTTTAATTTCAACGACTATATATATATTTTCATTTCTAGAAGTAAATTATATGTGTTTCTTTTCCAACCCTGGTTACTTTTGAATTTTAATATAGCATCTGTTTTATATTGTTTTTTCCTATTCCTTCTTTGTTTATTCTTCAATCTTCTAATCATGCTTTTACAATTGTACATTTTAAACATATTTCTATGATTTATGTGGTAAAAATATGATCACAGATTTTTATGAATATAACATTTCTTTCAGGCTATCCTTTCTGGTTCTTTGTGTACTAATATTCTTATTTTTGTGGCTACCGGTTTCCTTTTGTAGTTATTTTCCTTTTGTGTACTTTACTTGCTTTGTGATGAGATCATTTTCAGTTGAAGTTGTATTATTTTTCCTATGGGAATACCATTTCCTTGACTTGTTGAAGAATTCCAGCACATAAAGGTAGAATAAAAATGGATCCATTCCCATGTGGCACACAGGTTTGGGGATTTGGTCCCACACAAAGTAGTAGCTTTTACCTACTCAGAACCTCTAAAAGAAGAATTTTCTAGCTTCCTCTGTAGGCTTTCAGGAAAAATTGTCTATCTCCCATTTCACTGTCTGAAAGCATTTTTAGAGTCCCTGCTTCAGTGAGTTCAGTTGCCATTTCCCTGTGTGGGTCCAAGTCCTAGAGAGGGCATTCAAACTCCAAACTTTAGCCCTGATCTTAGAACTCAGACTCGCCTCCCACCCCTCCCCCCGTGACCCCAGTGGTCAGTTCAGCTTGAGCTCTTGCTTATGCTTAACTTAGATTTCCCTCTTTAGTCTGACATCTAGGAATTTCCCTTTGTTTCTTGAATGTAAATGTTTATAAATTTATTTGCTATGTTTATGTAGCATATCTGTGTTTTTAAAATAGCAAAAGTGGGAAAAGTGATGTCCATATCAGCTCAGTATGTCATTTTATCCGCAGGAAAAATAATACAGCCTCAACTGAAAATGCTGTCATCACAAAGCAGCAATTTAAAATTTATAATACCTAAAACAATTAAGCCCAAGACTTCCTAATGAAGCCCTTTTTAAAAACGCCTTCACACTTCAGTGAGATACTTCTTTCTGATGAAAAATTATTTAAATACTCACATGATATAATATAAGACAATGAAGATACAAATGTTTAAGATAAATATGCAGATGCATTTTGGAGATGAATATTTATATATACATTATTTCACATATGATTTATATTATTTCTATTTACAGATAAATATTTACAGTTATTAACTTTTATATAAATATATGGACACTTATGTATATATTCTTCCCATTCTGTCAAAACTCTGTCATTTGATTTGAATTTATATCTCCAATATTTTAGTCTCTCAATAAAATTTTGCTTCTTAAACAGCATTTTGATCCATGCTGTTTTTAACAATCAGTTGACATATCTATGTCAAATCATATTTTTATGAAACAGTATGAACTATCATACTGTTAGTATGATAGTTTCTTTCTTGAATGTAAATGTTTATAAATATATTTGCTATGTTTATGCTATGATTATTTTTTCCTATTCCTTCTTTGTTTATTCTTCAGTCTTCTAATCACGCTTTTATAATTGTACATTTTAAATGTTATGAACTATCATACTGTTTCTTATTAGTGTATTTCTCTCTACACTAATAAGTGTTTTTTCAGTATATAAGTTGTATGCATATTTTGTTAAAATGCTGGGTTATTTCTTATTTTTTAAAAAGAGACTGTAGTCACTTAATTGTAGTACATTACATGCACATTTTGATATAATTCATCATGCCATATTGTGATATTATTGTGATGTGATATAATTTTTGATATGTCGTGTCATATACATATAATTTGTGATTTTTATAATTATGTAGACTGTTTCATGAAACCTGCCTTCTGCAAGTTTTTAATCCTAAAACAATTTAATTTATAAGAACTTACAGTTTTCTATTTAAGATGTCACATGGTTGGAAGCCATTTATTTTAATGATGCTATTTACTTAATTTTTCATTCTCTTTTATAATTTCTTAATTGCTGTTTATTGTTGCATTTTAATTGTCTGTGTAGAGCTTCAAGTGTCTTCACAGGAGGCATTTTTCTTATTAGGTTTATAATCATTCTTGGTACAATATTGAGCTCGGCTGAGAGCAGGCACTGAGTAGCTCAAGGGGCTTTCCCTTGGAGCCCTGCTAATCACTACAGCTCTCTTGCTCTAGCCTTTCTCACTATATTTACCGAAGAAAATGAACTTGCTTGTTATTCCCTTTCCTTGCAAATACCAGACATCACCATTGTATGAGTGGTAGGTATATAAAAACACTTCTTTTTCTTCCCTGCTTGATTTTCTGTATTCTAGAAACTCAGGAGATTTCTTTTCCATTTTAAGCTTAGCTTTGCCTGTCCTTTATTTGAGTGAGTGGTAAAGGTTAGAGATTTCTGTGGAGTTTTGAAAATAGAATAAAGCACACACAAGATGTGTTTTGATAAATACTAGAGAAGATGCACTAAGAACCTGCAGGATTGCCCACAAAGGCGTACAAGATGGAGAGAGGAGGTGTCCTTAAGCAAGCAATCACTCACACACTGCTACACAATCTGGGTCAACATGAGCAATTTTCATTTCAGATAATTTTGGAATGAAATGTAATAGATCTAGAAAATTTACTATATTCCAGGACATGGCAACTTTTTACTATGGGCTTGTGGACTTTTCTGCTTACTGTGTCCACAGGAGTATTATTGTTTCAGTAGTTCAAAATAGGTACCTAAATTGCCCCTGATGTAACATATACCTATTACGTAACTATTATTATATTTAGCTTGTTATTTCCAGACATTCTTGTCCCAATTCATACACACTTCATTAAAACAAATATTTGCTATTCATATTACGGCCTAAAGGTTGTATATGTACACATAGGGTCACATGTATCAAATCTAACTATATAATATTTTATGGCTGCCTAGAGAAGATGAATAGGCTAATAAAAATATTTTAATAGGGCCCCATCTTTAATTGAAAACAAAGAAAAAAAGTAGTAACTTTCATTGTTACATTAGTATAGTATGCTAACTTTTTCAAAGAGTGGTTCATTCTCTCAGCTAATGTAGTTATGCACTGTCTGATCAGAATGTTACAGAACTCATTACTGTAAATAAGTAAATCAATTTTTTCCTTTTTAACTTGTGCCTGCCTCTGAGTTTCTCAATGTTTATAAATTGCACGTGTAATGCATCCCTTGGTGTTAAAATGATGTGTTATTAGCATGTACAACAGATAAAATTGCATTTCTAAAATTACTCTTGGAAGAAAACATTGTGCCTTTAATCAATTCCATTAGGGCTTCTTACCTTTTTGATAATTAAACAGAAAAATTTGAATATATTGAGTATTTTAAGACTTACCTGGGTTCAAACTTCAGAAGATTATTTAAAAATTCAGAATAAAACCCTTGACAGAATTCATTTCTGAATTAGATGCAAAGGTATAACAGATTTGAATGCACTTTAGTTTTAAAGGGTTGCTATTTCTGCCATATATTTTTAAATTAACACTGGTTGGGCAATGGGTTGAAAGTGTTTCTGTTATAAAATAACATAGGCTTTAAACATGGTTTATTCTCTGTGCGTTTGTAGGCTTGTAGATAAGTGCCTTATAAACATCTGGCTACAGTGAACCTAGTAGGCATTTAAAGACATTTATAGGGTCACCACATGTAGAATAGATAGTGGATACTTCCTGAAGTCACTATAATTGCTTAATGCCAAGGAAATTAACAGAGAAACCAAGAAAAATAACCTTCTATATTGACAGTGGGACATCACTGGAATAAACAATATACCTTGCAGTTACAGGGGCCAAAACAAGGGTCTTCATTTTTGCTCCCTAAGCCACTGCAGTTACAGGCTTTGCAGTCTGGGTAGCCAGTGTAGCCCCTGGCACAGCGATCACAGCTCACACCTCCAAAACCAGTTTTGCAATGACAGGATCCAGGTGCCAGACCTAAAGAAAGATGAGTCACATATCAACATATTGAAAACAAATGCATAATTTAGTTCTTAAAGTTTTAGTGATAGTAACCTTTAAAAGGATATTTTGACACAAAAATAGACTTTTGATATACATCAATAAAGAAAAATTAACACCAAAGGGTATAGGGTTTAATTGAAAGCTTTCTATGATTTGGTGAATGTAGCATCTTCTAATTGTCAGTACAAATATTAAAAATGTAAACAAGAAAGATGAAGTCCCAAAGCATCCACCAAACTATGGCTATAGAAAACAATGATTAAAGAGTAATTTCCACAACTGCTAATGCTGATGACACTACAGACAGAAGAATAAGCAGTAACTAATGCAAAACTAGTGGCTCATGAAACAAGCCTGCCCTACCAGACTATCACAGGTGCAAAGTAGCTTTCAGAATAAAGATATACTACTTAAAACAACAATTTAACAATGGTAATCTAAGAACATGGCCACTAACAGTATTGCTAAAGAAAATAAAGGTATTCCTGGGAACTGATATTTTGGGGATAAGAAGCAATAGATGAGAGAAATGAAAACAGTTTAAATTTGCTTTTTTTTTTAACATTGAGAAATACAAAAGACAATGTTTATTCATGTCTTTGATGAGAAAAATAGAAAGAATGCAGGATAAATGAATACAACTAACAGATCTTCAAAATCTGAAGAAAGATGAAAGCATATCAATAATATATAGTCCATCAGAACAAAGAAAGGAGAGAAAAAAAGGCAAGGAAACGTTATGGAGAGAAAGCAGAAAGCAGAATGACAGAAATAGTGTCAGACATGCATACTAAATACATATGAATGAATTAAGCAGTCTTACTGTTCCTACTAAAAACATAAATGCAATCTGCACGAGAGATATATGAAATGAACAGGAATATTACAAATAAAAGAAAATGAATATGTGTCAAGAAAGCATATGGAAAAGAAAAAAGTTGTAAAATATTAATTAGGGTCAAAGTAGAACTCAGATTAAGTAGGTTCAACAAGACAAACTCTCATTTCATATTGATAAAAATACAATAAAAACATGATTTCAATTATTATGTTTATGCTTCCAATAAGCACTAATTATCAGTATAAAAATATGTAGACAACAAAAGATATTGGAAATAAAAAGTTTAAAAGTCAATGGCTGAAAAGTGTACTAACTTAGTCATCTTAAATATTTACAGATGAGGTAAGAAAAAACAGAAGATTTGAATAATCTAATGATCTCAAATTACATGTGATGTGGTATATAACTATAAATATTTACCATAGTTTATGATTGACTATTCTATAAAAATTGTTCAGTTATTAAAGCAGAAATTATCTAAGGCTTCTTTTCTTAATATAAATTACTACTTTTAGATGTATATCAAATGCCACAAAAATTAGTATTAAATTAATTCTGAATATCAAACATAATGAGAGTATTTTATGAAAAATTCAACCATTCTAAAAATTAATGCCTAAATATTTCTCTTTAATAACTCTTGGGTTAAAGAGAAAATCAAGACTTTGATTAAAAATCGAATAGCTATCTAGGTAGAATATAATAGCAGTAAAGAAGGAACTTAATGTTTATCAGGCATGGAAAAACTGCAGCCAAAAGCAAATTTATAGGCTTAAATAGTCCATTGTTTTTAAAAATACAAATATATTAAATTTTAATTCATATAAGTATAAAAGAGAGAAAATATAAACACCACAGGAAATAAAGAGATTTGAAAAATAAAAAGAAAAGCAAGCAAAACGACACCTTAAACAAAGCTAATCAAGGCTATCAAAAGAGGACAAATTATCAAAGAACTACAACAAAAATGTTTTAATGCTAGTTCATTTTTTAAAATTATACTTAAGTTCTGGGATATGTTTGCAGAACATGGAATATGCAGGTTTGTTACATAGGTATAAACGTGCCATGGCGGTTTGCTGCATCCATCAACCCATCATCTACATTTGGTATTTCTCCTAATGCCATCCCTCCCCTAGTCCCCATCCCCTGACAGGCCCTGGTGTGTGATGCTCCCCTCCCTGTGTCCACGTGTACTCATTGTTCAACTCTCACTTATGAGAGAGAACATGAGGTGTTTGGTTTTCTGTAATGTTAGTTAATTTTTACAAACTGTTTTCAAAACTTGAAACTCTTATAGTCACATAAAAAATGGAGAGCTGGCCGGGCGCGGTGGCTCACGCCTGTAATCCCAGCACTTTGGGAGGCTGAGGTGGGCAGATCACAAGGACAAGAGATCAAGGCCATCCTGGCTAACATGCTGAAACCCCGTCTCTACTGAAAATACAAAAAATATTAGCTGGGTGTGGTCGCACACGCCTGTAACCCCAGCCTCTCAGGAGGCTGAGGCAGGACAATTGCTTGAACTAGGGAGTCAGAGGTTGCAGTGAGCTGAGATTACGCCACTGTACTCCAGCCTGGGAACAGAGCGAGACTCAGTGTCAAAAAAAAAAAAAAAAAAAAAAGAGAGAGAGAGCGAAAGAGAGAGAGAGTGAGCTATAATTCAATTTATGAAGTTAGTTTTAACTTGATATCCAAATGCAAGAAAAAGATGACTCAAAATAAACCAAACTGGTAAGACTCAAAAAGCACTTACTTTTTGCTAGTCATCGTACCTAGCATTACACAAAATGCATGGGTTAATTCAATTAGTACTCAAAACCTCCACATGAGATACACTTATTTCTCCCAATTCACAGATGAAGTAACTGGGACACAGAGTGATTTGCCAAAGGAGCACGACTGGTGAGTGTCTGAGTCACAGGCAATTTAATTTACCAATCCAGATAAGCAAATTACAAATAAAATAAACACCAAACTGAATCCTAAAGTACATTAAAAAGACCCTCTATGATGTCCAAGTAGAACATATTCTGGTAATATAAATATTGTTTAATATTAATAAGTTCATTTCCAATAGACCAAATGGAAAAGAAATCTGAAAATTTTAATAAAGTTTGAAGAGGCATTAAATAGTTTAACATTCACTTATGATGTTAAAATTTCCAGAAATTGAGGCTAAATGTAGAAGCCCTTGATATATTAAACAATGCCTATCTTAACTTTTATTCCTGGAAGTGTTGTAGACTAGATGTTCAAAGAACTCCCCTGCTCAGAACACTGGAAGATGTAGAATAAAATTAAATATAGAAAAATAGATGAGTAGGTGGGTAGGTAGATAGAGGATAGATAGATAGATAGATAGATAGATAGACAGATAGATAGATAGACAGATAGATGACAGATAATAGAATGGTTGTGCTGGTATGAAATAAAGAAACCCCATGGAGATAGAAACTACCAAATTGACTTCTAGAAAGGCTAAGTCAGTCTTTAAAACACTGTCTTTCCTGGTGTTAACTGGCAAATTTTGATAACTAGACTACAGTCCATGGAGCATGGTTTTAGGGAAGAACAGCAAAAACAAATCTAGGTACTCCATAAGCTAGGTCATTATCACATAGCCTCTTGTAAATTCAAGGCTTCTGAAAGAATAAACCAAGAAATACATATGCACGCATACATCCACAAAACACACATACCCACATGTAGGAAACACGTAAGAAAATGAGATCCATATAAGTAAGACTTAGAAGAAAAATAAAAATACAGAATCAGACTCAGATAACAGGCTACTTCTAACAGATGCAGAAAATAAAATAAATATATTCAGTATGCCTAAAGAGCTGAAAGTAATATTAAATGTAGATGAATAAAAAAGAGTATTGGAAAACAAAATGTAGTTTGAAACTTTCCTTATAAAATATAACAAAATAAATTCCAGATGGATTAAAAAAACTAAGTGTTATACAATGAAATCATACAAATAAAGAAGACAAATATATTCTTCTAATCTTGGGATAGATGAGAGTTCTAGGATTATGAAGGCATGTAAGAAATATAATAAAAATATCAAAATATATAATAATCGTGGGATAGTGTCATTATTATAAGTAAATAACTGTACTTAGATTTTGATAGCTGATTACATAAAACTTTTGAAGTTTTGTGCATTGGAAATTATCAACAGTAGCAAGAAACAAAGCAAATCTGGAAATTGATTATTAAAAAAATGACATACTATACTATTATTGTTTTCAATTTTTAAAGCATTCTTACAAATCTATGGGGGAGAAAACTGCCTTCTACCAAAAGAAAATGAAGAAATCTAAAAGAAAAATCAGAAACGAAATTCATTGTATTTCCCTGGTAATCAAATTAATGCCAGCAATACACTAAAATATCCTTTTCTACTATCTGGTTATGAAACCTGATGAAGAAGTGCAAACCATCAGACCACATCTTACACTCTTTCCTAACGAAGTTATCAGAATAAGCATGAAGATAAAAATGACCTACAGATATGTCTCTAATTTTGCAAATTGGGTCCATATCAAATAATATGTATCTAATTACAGTATTACAATCTTGATTATTAGATTTCTATTTTTAAATTATAAGCATTACTTATTGGTCCAGAGCTGAATATAAGTGTGAAAATCTTTGAAAAGATAAACATGTAATTGATAGACACTGACAAGTGCTGAAGAATGTGGGAATAGTCTTTACCACCACTTATACGGTAGGACTTCAAGAGAAATTCTAAAAGTAGTCAATGATGAAATAGACATGTAAGCTCTCTTGAACATGATAAAGATACCACAGAAGAAACACATAATAAAAATGTATGAATGTTGGAATAAAAGAGGGAACTGTTGTGAATGATACATTTCTTCACCTTTCAAGATGGAGAGTCAATAGGCAACATGTAATGGCAATAACAATGCTGATAAGAATATTATTTAGATATTAAGTGTAACCCACTAAAAAACTCAATAGGAGAAAAGGCTCAGTATTCTTAAATTTGTAAGACTGGGATAAATAGGTTGAAGAGGAAACTTGTTATTTTATATCTTTACTGTTAAGAATTTATTTTACTGTATATTTTTTTCATGATAATTGAAAAATATTTATATGGAATAATTTTTATTAAAACATGGGTTACAATAAACAAAAATTTGAAACCTTAATATCCATACAAAGTTGAGAGGGTAAATAATTATGGTACAACCATATAATAATGTGTTATTTAGGAGTTGAAACCAGATTTCAGAGAAAGTTTTTATAGACTTTTGAGGAAACCTGTCACATGAAGTTAAAAGAAATATCAGAAATTTCTCTATGCATTATGATAGAAACATATGAAAATGTTAATAGCGGCATCTCTACTGAATTACCACTGAATTGTATATTTGTTTTTCTACTTTTCCATTTTTATAACTTTTTCTGTGATCATATAGTCATTCAAAAAGGGGTAGGGAAGAGTTAAATGACATTAATGAAAACAACACTGTGGTTTACTTGTTACCACAAAAAGAAAAGAAGGCTTAAAATGAAAAGTGAGCTTAGTAATTCATCATTTGACTATCAAAACATATCAGTTTTATAATATTTCAAAATTTAGACTTGAAGTAATGCTCAGATTTATAATCCTACAGTATAAAGAAAGCAGGTAAGCAGAATTGTGCCAAATAAACATTTCTGGTCTTATAACACTAAAGTCATTAGGGAAAAAGAACTAGATAGCCTTGATTTATTTTAGTCTTTCTAGAGAAGTGTCCCAGTGCATTCTGTGAATTTCCTACTTAAGCTTGGCGAGCAACTGCCCTGGAGGTAGCTCCCAAACGCTTTATATCAAGGAGTTATGTTGGCACTTGATTCCTTAATGTTTGGAGTTCATGAATTTCATTCCTCAAAGGAAGCGTTTAGCTTAAATTAGTGTCAGCCTCTTTCTCTTCATTAACTCATGACTACTACCTTCTTAGTCCTTTATGAACACATCTTGCTTTCTATATTATTGCCTACATCTCAATGTATGAGCTCTTCTATTTGCTTTTCCCACTACAGCACACATTCCTCAGTAAATGCTGGGATTTCATGCTAGAACTCATAGAAGCTGCAAACAATCTAATAAATAACACAACATAAAAAAATTACATATACTGCAGATCTGTGATTGACACTGTGTGCATCTCAAAATAAATAATTAAACTCTTCTTGCTATGAAAACATTAAACATGAAAGTAATTATTGAGATTAATTTAAAAACTGCTTCCTGGAGGGAATGCTAATACACTGATAGATTGAAGAATAAATTTATTACATGAATGACATTTAATGCAAAATATTCCTCTGAAAATAATAATATTTGGCTTTTAGTTGTCCTTTCATCAGAGCAGTGACATTCTGCTGCAGCTCTCACCTCGTCGAGCATGTTTCTCATCCTTGACACAGACTTCATTTACAGAACCAATTGGATCACAATGACATGGCTGGCATGGCCTTGGATAATTTGGAGATACCTAACAAAAATATTAAAATGAATTTAATCAAATGTAATAAGTGCAGCCATATTTTTCATTTCAGCAAACTTTTATAGGTAAAGTAGTTTTAATAACAGTATAGTAAATTATTGAGAAAATTATAAAAATTATCTTTAATACATGTTTATAATTTAAAAAATGTATTTCTTCTACATGGTTACACAAAACTAAGGAGGATGGAACAATAAACTCGTATGTATTTGGTACTTAGATTCAACAATTATTGATATTTTCATATTTTATCCCTTTTTATCTTATATATAGTATATGAAGACAGTTACTTTAATTAAACAAATCTACACTGTGTTCATATACTGTATATACAAGATTTGTTTTCCAGACAGAATAGGAAAAACCAGAAAACTAAATTATTTGCCCAAGAAATACCCCTCTATTAAATATAGCTTTCATGTGTATATATATCTAAGCTTAATTTACAAATGAAAACTTGTTTGCTACTATAAATCAGATCTATTAACTGATCCCTTTATTGTATATTCATTCAGGAGATTCTTGGAAATTCAGTGGAAAGCAACAGCTGGTAAACTGAACAAGCTGAGAAGAGTTTTCAGGTGCTGCAAATCATAAAGTAAAGAGAAATTGGACTTTAAGTTAACCACATTAGAAATGTTTGACAAATACCTGAAGTTTTCCATTAATGTGTTCTAAAAAAGTATGAAAGTAAACTTTCATAACTCATAGTGATCACTCATGAGTTTATTACTAATTAGAACCAATTCAAAATCTTCAGAGGAACATAACAGAAACCAGTGTCTCTGCATTGTATTCTCCAAAATGTCCTGTATAAGTGATAAATTACAGTAGTTCCCACGATATGTGTGGTTTTGCTTTCTGAGGTTTCAGTTATCATGGTTAACTACAATTCAAAAATATTAAATGGAAAACTCCAGAAATAAATAATTCATAAGTTTTAATTTGCATGCCATTTTGAGTAGTGTGGTGAAATCTCAAGCCATCTTGCTCTGTCCCACCAGGGATATGAATCGTCCCTATGTCCAGCATATGGACACTACTCTCCTGTTCGTCACTTGGTCGCATCACAGGTATCAGACTGGAAAAACATGGTATATATAGGTTTGGTACTATCTGTGATTTCAGGCATCAACTGGGATTCCTGGAACATATCCTCACAACTAAAGGAGAACTACTATATTTGATATGCAGGAAAGAAACAGGAAAATGTTGTCCTTATTTAAAAAAGAAGTTGATAAAAACAGATTCTGAGGTGACCCAGGTATTGAAATTAGCATACAAGGAAATCAATGTTAAGTACTGTAAATATATCCAAGAATATAAAGGAAACAATGTTTATCATGAGTGAATGCATGGACTATTTCAGTAGAGAAATAGACACTGTAAGGAACATAAGAACTCCAGAAAGCTGAAAAGTAAAATACCTCAATTTAATAATTCACTGGCTATGCTTAACATCAGATAGAGATGATAGTAGGAAGAGAAGTCAAACTGCTTTTGTAGTCATAGGCCAGAATTTGGTCTACAGGTCAAAGTTTTCTCATACATGATATCATTGTTAAAAGTAAATGTAATGAGAATTTATTTATTTATTTATGTTTATTTATTTTTGAGATAAGACCTAACTCTGTCACCCAGGCTGAAGTGCACTGATGTGATCTTGGCTCACTGCTACCTCTACTTCCTGGGTTCAAGCTACTCTCCTGCCACAGCCTTCTGAGTAGCTGAGATTACAGGTGCCCACCACCACAACCTAGCTAAGTCTTGTATTTTTAGTGAAGATGGGGTTTCACCATGTTGGCCAGGTTAGTCTTGCCTCCCTGCCTTCAAGTGATTCACCCACCTAGGCCTTCCAAAGTGCTGAGATTACAGTGTGAGCCTCCGTGCCCAGCACAATGCGAATATTTTAAAATCTGCTAGTGAATTAAATATACATTATATAGAATAAAGTAAATCACAAATAAAGAGAAAATTATCCAATCTAAAGAATAAAGAAAAAAAATTAATTAGCACTGCCTCAGATACAATCAACACCCTAGCACACATGCAGAGAGAAGAAAAAATATTGGTCAAAAAACAAGTTTTTAAAAAATAGTCTAAAATTTCCTATATGTGGAATAAAATCTCAGCTTAAGTTCCAGGAAACTTTGTGAATCAAGCAAGGTAGGCTTGAAAGCCAAACATAGACAAATCATAGATTAACTCTGAGGTTAGAAAATTTTTCTGTAAAGGGCCAGATAGTAAAATAAGCCACATAAAGACTGTTCATTCCTCATCCTCTTCTTCCCCTTCCTAGCCCTCTTCATCCTCCTCTTCTACTTATTTTTTTTAACAAACCTTTACAAATATAAAACCATCCTTTGCTTACAGGTCATACAAATATAGGCCATAAGTCAGATTTGGTCTTCAGGCCAAAGTTTTATGGTACATGGTATACCTATAAAAAGGCAGATTTAAAAAATATTTTGAAATCATCTAGTGAATTAAAGAAATATAGAACAAAAATACAGAACAAAGATACAGAACAAAGAGACAAATAATGGGTATGTTGTCATAAGAATAAATGAAATCCAGAAAATAATGGTGCCACAGCTTTAAAGTGCTAAACAAAGAAGAAAACATACACTTCTGTAACTATGATGAAAATATCCGCCAATAATAAAAGTAGATTAAATACATTTTCAGATAAAGGGAAGTTGAGATAATTTGTGACAGGAAGCTCTGTTCTACCAAAAAAAAAAAAAAAAATTGCTAAAGGAAATTTTCAAGCAGGAGGGCAATATATATAAGATAGAACCACAGAGTATGGGAAATGGGAAAGGCATGGTTAACATAAATTTCGTTTTCTTCTTTTCATTTCTTTAAGCCTGTTTTTGTAGTTTGATAACTTCAAATAAAAATTACAACATTGTATCTGTGGCTTACAAATTATGTGCAATATACGAAAACCATAGTCCAAAAGATAGGACTATATCACTATATCATGAGCTTAAAATAGTACCATCTCACACCAGTCAGAACGGCTATTATTGAAAGTCAATAATAACAGATACTGGTGAGGTTGTGGAGGAAAAGGAACACTTATACACCACTGGTGGGAATGTAAATTAGTTCAGCCACTGTGGAAAACAGTTGGGAGCTTTCTCAAAGAACTTAGAACTAGCCTAGTTTGAAGTCCAGCAGTGTGATGCCTCCGACTTTGTTCTTTTTGCTTAGGATTGTCTTGGCTATGCAGGCTCTCTTGTGATTCCATATGAGGTTTAAAGCGGTTTTTTCCAGTTCTGTGAAGAAGGTCATTGCTAGTTTGATGGGGATAGCGTTGAATCTATAAATTACTTTGGACAGTATGGCCATTTTCATGATATTGATTCTTGCTAACCATGAGCATGGAATGTTTTCCCATCTATTTGTGTCCTCTCTTATTTCATTGAGCAGTGATTTGTAGTTCTCCTTGAGGAGGTCCTTTACATCCTTTGTTAGTTGTATTCCTAGGTATTTTATTCTCTTTGTAGCAATTGTGAATGGAGTTCACTCATGATTTGGCTCTCTGTCGGTTGCTGGTGTATAGGAATGCTTGTGATTTTTGCACATTGATTTTGTATGCTGAGACTTTGCTGAAGTTGCTTATCAGTTTGAGAAGATTTTGGGCTGAGACGATGGAGTCTTCTAAGTATACAATCATGTCGTTTGAAAATAGGTACAATTTGACTTCCTCCTTTCCTAATAGAATACCTTATATTTCTTTTTCTTGCCTTATTGCTCTGGCCAGAACTTCCAATTATATATTGAATCAGCATGGTGAGAGAGGGCATCCTTCTCTAGTGCCTGATTTCAAAGGGAATTCTTTCAGCTTTTGCCCATTCAGCATAATATTGGCTGTAGGTTTGTCATAAATAGCTTTTATTATTTTATGATATGTTCTGTTGATATCTAGTTTATTGAGAGTTTTTAGCATGAAGGGCTGTTGAATTTTGTTAAAGGCCTTCTCTGCATCTATAGAGATAATCATGTGGTTTTTGTCTTTGGTTCCCTTTATGTGATGGATTACGTTTATGGACTTGCATATGTTGAACCAGCCTTGAATCCCCAGGATGAAGCCTACTTGATTGTGATGAGTAAGATTTTTGATGTGCTGTCACATTTGGTTTGCCAGTATTTTATGAAGATTTTTGGGTCTATGTTTATCATGAATATTGGCCTGAAGTTTTCTTTTTTAGTTGAGTCTTTGCCTGATTTTGGTATCAAGATGATGTTGGTCTCATAAAATGAGTTAGGGAGGCTTCCCTCTTTTGTATTGTTTGATATAGTTTCAGAAGGAATGGAACCAGATCCTCTTTGTACATCTGGTAGAATTCTGCTGTTAACCCATCTGGACCTGGAATTTTTTTGGTCAGTAGGCTATTGATTGCTGCCTCAACTTCAGCCCTTGTTATTGGTCTATTCATGGTTTCAGTTTCCTCCTGGTTTAGTGTTGGCAGAGTACAATGTCCAGGAATTTATCCATTTCTTCCTGGTTTACTGGTTTATGTGCATAGAGCTGTTTGTAGTAATCTCTGATGGTGGTCTGTATTTCTTGGGTTCTGTGGTGATATCCCCTTTATCTTTTTTATTGCACCTATTTGAGTCTTCTCTTTTCTTTTTTATTAGTCTGGCTAGCAGTCTGTCTATTTTGTTGATCTTTTCAAAAAAACAGCTCCTGGATTTATTGATTTTTTGAAGGGTTTTTGTGTCTCTATCTCCTTCAGTTCAGCTCTGATCATAGTTATTTCTTGTCTTCTGCTAACTTTTGAGTTTTTTTGATCTTCCTCCTCTAGCTCTTTCAATTTTGATGATAGGGTGTCAATTTTAGATCTTTTCGTGTTTCTGATGTGGGCATTTATTGCTATAAATTTCCTTCTCAACACTGCTTTAAAGGTGTCCCAGAGATTCTGATAAGTTATGTCTTAATTCTGATTGGTTTCAAAGAACATCTTTATTTCTGCCTT